AGAAGGAAGGACAGTGTCAGCACCAATTCAGAGATGATTTGAGGATCAACAGACGAGTGATACACAAATAACATGGTCCCCCTGTGTGTGTAGTTGTGTGAATTGGTGCTGACACCTTGCAGTCCATCATGGGAGCGAGCTTGGAGCTGTGGCTACTTTACAACACACACAGAGACAATGGGGAACAAAAGTTAGCATCCTCTAGAAGGAAGGACAGTGTCAGCACCAATTCAGAGATGATTTGAGGATCAACAGACGAGTGATATCAACTAATACCAATTACTGCAATCACCACACAAATGCACCAAAACAGTTATTTGCGCCGCATCAGTGGCATCCTTTTTTGTTTGTTTGTTTCTTTGTAAATTAAACAACCCAACTGAATGACCGCTCTAGCGGTCTAAGCTCCAGTGACTCATCATATCTTATGTATGGGACATGAGGACGCTAAGGGACAATCCATCACTAGAGTGGAGGAAGGGGGGGGGTGGGGGGGGGGGGGGCACTGCAGGGACTGGTCTAGGAGCCAGCCGGGATTGTGGTTCAAGTGAGTATTATTCAGTTATTTTAGCTCCCTAGTCAAAATGAGCACTCAAGCCTTGCAGTACAGGGGTACTCCCACTGCAAGGGTTAAGATTTTATTTGCCCAGAGTTCTTAGTTAAAGAGAATCCGTCACTTTACCCTTTAGGGCAACGTGTCAGGTTCCCTTGCTAGGCTACCCCCACCCCCTGAAACATCCCATCTCCATTTCTGCCTTTTTTGCTTAACAGAACCCCAAGTCCAATACTGCGTAAGCTCTGTGATGGTCTGCATTGGAGTATAGAAAGCATCAATGGCTTTCTCCCCCTTCCCGCGTGACAGTGTTCCAGTCTGGCCATAAGCTACTCGGCCCCAACACTGCATCCTGGGAGCATGGGAAGGTGGTAACATCCTCCCCGATACCTGGAAGTACTGGGTATTTCCAAGGGCTCTTATAGGCAAACGGATGGACCCATTTTCCAATATTAATTACCTTCCCTGCTCTCACCTGAGCAGGGAAGGTAATTAATATTGGAAAATGGGTTGGGGTATCCTGTGAAGAGAATCTGCTACCTTGCTCTGATAAGGCAAAAATCTTTTTTTTTCTCCTACTTTCAGACACATACTAAATAACAACAACAAAAAAGCAGCTTGCATTTTGGATGCCCTGTATACTGATTTGCAATGCGTAAACAAGCGTTTACTAAACGTTACTACAACACACATCTCATTCATTTTGAAATGCACATCTGTTTTTGTGCACCACAGTATAGGAAACAGTCATTGCATTGTGGTGTGCTGGAACAAAGAAGAGGAGCAGGATCTTTTTAAAGGTCTGTTGTAGTGAGCTGGCAGTTACTACACTACAGAGGTTTGACTCCAGCTTAAGACGGAGCATAAGGCTGGGCACACACCTTACAACCCTCGCAAGACTTTTGTCTTGCGAGGGTTGTAAGGTACTTAAAAAAACAAACGATCTGCCTATCTTGAGGTCCCCACACACCTTATGATAATCGTACGATAATCGTGGGAAATCCCACGATCGTACGATTCTCGTAAGGTGTGTGGAAGCCGTGCGACCTCTACTACTGTAAGGTCGCACGACTTTAGACTTACGAACATGTTTGAAAACCCGCTGAGCATCATGCGATGTTCGGCGGGTGTGTAGCATGTTCGTAAGATAAAAGCCGGACGGGCCGGTGTGCGCAAGCGCACACTGCTCGTTCGGCATTGCGGTCATCGGAAGCCCGCCCCTCAGGGGGCGTGGCTTGCGATCATCGCAAGTACGATCTGCCTATGCAAGATAGGCAGATTGTACGTTTTTTTAAGTACCTTACAACCATCGCAAGACAAAAGTCTTGTGATGGTTGTAAGGTGTGTGCCCAGCCTTGGACAGGCAGATCGTACTTGCGATGATCGCAAGCCGCGCCCCCTTGAGGGGCGGGCTTCTGATGACCGCAATGCCAAACGGGCAGTGTGCGGCTTTTATCGTACTAACATGCAACACACCCGCCGAACATCGTACGATGCTCGGCGGGTTTTCGAACATGTTCGTAAGTTAAAAGTCGTGCGACCTTACAGTAGTAGAGGTCGCACGGCTTCCACACACCTTACGATAATCGTACGATCTTGGGATTTCCCGCGGTTATCGTACGATTATCGCAAGGTGTGTGGGGACCTTTATACTGATGTGACATTCACCTGCATGGCCAGGCCACAACACAAATGTAAGATACGTGCAGAAACAACACATGGCCAACTGCTTGCTTCAAATAACGCCAGAATGTTCCTGGACACATGGATAAACACTGGTCACTATTTTTATGACCATTACAACCCATTCAGCTATGTTGTGACAGCAGGGCCCTGGAGAACATTCAACTCCTATGACCAGCAGCCTAAGAAAATACATTATAGTGTCAGCTCTTGGGGGCTTTTTTAGTCCCATGTTATAAAGAGCATCCATGTGCACAACCACTCAACATTTCCTGTCAGTTTGTCTGCTTTCACTGGATGATATGGTCTACTGTCTTTGCACTCTTATCAAATAAGACTGCAAACATATAACATCTTGTTCACAACAGAATGGCATTTTAATGGGAACATTTGTTTATAAAATATATTTGGACTTTTGAGAATTGCAGTAAAGACTCTTAGTAAATTGACCACATTCCATAAAACAGAGTATAAATTCAGAAAAACAACAACCCATTCTGTGCAAATACAAAAAAAAATAGCTTCAAGTGCCCCCACGCCTGTCACAGAACACCGCACATGTCAAAGAATTATAAAAGGATTTGGAACCGGAATATGGTATGCCATAGCTGCCAGTGGAGGAGGCGGGCACAGGCCCAAAATTACTCTCAGAAGAAGGGGCACAGACAAGATATTTTCTGGTTTAGGAGTTCAGTTCATTTACATAATGGGGTGATGGGGAAGCAGGAGAAAGAGAGAAATAAGGGGAGGAAGAGAGAGCCCAAGAGAAAAAAAGCAAGCGAGAGTGTGAGAGAGAGGGAAGGAGGGAAAGAGAAGGAGGAAGAGAGAGATTGAGGGAGGAAGAGAGAGAAAAAAGGAAGGGGGGGGGTGGAAGAGGGCAGAGGGGGGACAGGAGGGAGAAAAGGCACAAAAGAAAAGGAGAGAAGGAAAGAGAGACAGAGAATGGGTGGACAGGGAGAAAAGGGAAGGAGGGAAAGAAAGGAGGGCAGATAAAGAGAGAATGAAAAAGAGAGGGAGAAAGAGAGAATGAAAAGAGAGGGAGAAAGAAATAGAGTGAAAAAGTGCGAAAGAAAAGGAAATGGAGTGAGGGTGAACATAGAAATAGAATGTGAAGGAAGAGAGAGAGAGGGGAAGGAAGAGAGAGAGAGGGCAAGGAAGAGAGAGAGAGAGAGAGAGAGAGGGAGAGAGGGCAAGGAAGAGAGAGAGAGAGAGAG